ACACAAAAAATATTTGTTGAATTAATGTTTATTTATTATTTGGTTTTTTCCACTACTGTTTTCGAAGTTTAACACTGTTTTGTATTTTCATCTAGGATTTTTAACTTTCATACTTATTTTACCAAAATATAGAGTTAATTGATACCTGTAATCTTTTCTTATATAATACAAGAACTTTAGGACACTTTAACTCCTTTTACCTTCTCTTACCTCCTCCTAACTCAAGATATTATTATGTTGAAAACTTTTTAGATTTTAACATTTCAATTTGTTAATTATTTTATACAATCAATATTCATTTAGATTAAGCCTCTCTTAAGGCCTTTCATTTCTTCTTGCAACTCAGATATGCCATCTGGGATTGCTTACCTTCTGCCAGAAGGATATCCTTTATTATTCACTTAAGGGGAAGGTCTGTGTTAACATGTTTGAAGTGTTCATTTCCCCAGAAATGTCTTTATTTTGTTGTCAGTTTTAAAAGGTATATAGAGTTCTAGGTTGACAGTTTTGTTTTTTCAGTGTATTAGAGAAATCAGTACACAATAGTCTGGTTTTCATTGTTGGCTCTTGGAAGGTCAGCTGTCAACCTAATTACTGCTGTTTTCTCTCTGGCTATTCTTTAGATTTTTTTTTTCATCTTTGATGTCTACAGTTTCAGTATGATGTGTCTGTTTAAGGATTTATTTTTTCTACCTGGAGCTCAAAAAGCTTCTTGATTTGGTGGATTGTTGTCTTTTACTGGTACTAGGAATGATCTTCTCATATATTTCTCCTTCACACTGCTTCTTTTCTTACTTTCTGGAATTTTGATTAGACCTGTTATACTCTCTTACTCTGAGTATCTCAAACTTTCTTTCATATTTTCTATTTCTTTATCTCTCTGAGCTGCATTCTAAATAATTCCTTAGGGACTTTCATTTTACTAATGGTCTCTTCACCTTTGTCTAATCTGTTGTTAAATTTGTCTGATAATTTTAGATTTCAATAATTGTGCTTTTTATTTCTAGAAATTTTATTGATACTTGGTTCTTTTTTGTTTGTTTTTTTTTAAGTATCTTCCCTACAGATATTTTTCAGCATGGCTTTTATTTCTTCAAACATACTATTTAAAATCAAATCAAATCAAATCTGATAATTCCAATGTCTGAAATCTTTGCAGTTATTTTTCTGCAATTAGATATTTTTTTCTACTTTTTTTCTTTTTGAGTTACTCAAAAAGTTTAGTCTGCTGTTGTACCAGCATTTTTGAAAAACAAAATAGTTGTGCTTTTTTTACATAGTACATACTCTTTGTAATATTTTAAATGGCTCTGTATTTTGTCTAGTGACTCATCATAATTTATATAATAATTCTCCAATTTAGACATTAAGCTTGTTTCTTTAGGGCTTTGCTATTATAAATAACACTGATAAACTGATTTCATAGGTAAAAATGTTATCTATTCATTTGTATTACCTTAATTGCTGTTGTGGTAGTACCTTTTCCAAATGTAAAATATGTATTCTTAGTTATGCGAATCTTAAACCTTTTTCTTAAAAGTTTGTGTAAACCATTGCCTAACTGATTACTTTGCTAAAATGTTTCTGTTTCTGCTTATTTGAGGAATGTAGATTTACAGAAACTTTACAAATGATTCTTTTGTTGAGTATTAACAAATGTTCTTGTTAATCATATTTTACTTGGAAACAATTATTTAAAATTTGGCCCTGGTAATTGTTTGCCAGTTCTTTCATTTATTGCTATTTAATGTTCAGTGAGTGTTATCTCAAGAATTTTCCTCATTTCTCTAAAACCTACTACAAGTCTTCTGCCTCATACCCCCCATCCCACAGCCATTTGTATTAGTCTCTTAGTTTTGTTTTAAAAGTAGATCCCTTGCCCTTCCCACAAATCTCAGTGGTTTACAGCAATTAACATTTATTCCTCTCACATGACTGACACTTAAACAGCTGCAAATCAGCTTTTGCAAACTTCCTTCACATGTCTTTTTGATGGAGGGCCCAGGCTGAAGGTGTCACTACATTTGAGACATGGCATTCTTGTGGCAGAGAGTAAAAAAATAAGAGAGCTGGTGTAAACCCATAATGCCTCTTGAAGCTTCTGCATAGAGGCAGTTTATGTCCTGTCTGTCCATGTGTTCCTATCACATGACTGAGTGCGGTGGGTGTTGCATAGAAATGTATGCTCCTCCCACAGGAGATGCTGCAAGTCACATGACTGACCAGAGTTACATGGAAGGGTCAAGTGAATACTTGGCAACAGTAATACAATCTACAGTATCTCTTCTTATTTTTTAAAAATATATTTTAAAATTTATTTATTTATTTATGGCTGCTCTGGGTCTTCGTTGCTGCGCCGCGGGCTTTCTCTAGTTGCGGTGAGCAGAGGCTACTCTTCGTTGCAGTCCATGGGCTTCTCATTGCGGTGGCTTCTCTTGTTGCGGAGCACGAGCTCTAGGCACTTGGGCTTCAGTAGTTGTGGCTTGGAGGCTCTAGAGCGCAGGCTCAGTAGTTGTGGCGCATGGGCTTAGTTGCTCCGCAGCATGTGAGATCTTCCTGGACCAGGGCTCGAACCCGTGTCCCCTGCATTGGCAGGTGGATTCTTAACCACTGCACCACCAGGGAATCCCTACCACATCTCTTCCTATGTTTAATTTTCTAGTGTAAGTTTTCGCGATAACTCATACCTGTACTGAAGCCTCTCTGATAAGTCTTCCTTTATGCCTTAAATATAGTTATTTCTGTTATGAAAGTGAATCATTTTACCTATCATCTTTTTTTTAAACTTTTTACTTTATATTGGAGTATAGTTAATTAACAGTGTTTTGATAGTTTCCAGTGTACAGCAAAGTGATCCAGTTATACATATACATGTATCTATTCTTTTCAAATTCTTTTCCCATTTAGGTTGTTAAATAATACTGAGCAGAGTTCCCTGTGCTATACAATAGGTCCATGTTGGTTATCCATTTTAAATATAGCAGTGTGTACATGTCAATCCCAAATTCACTAATCAGCCCCCCCCCACCCTTCCCCACTGGTAACCATAAGTTCATTCTCTAAGTCTGTGAGTCTGTTTCTGTTTTCATTTTACCTATGATCTTGAGCCTACTTGAATGTAAGTTTAGCAAGGGCAGAGATTCTTGTCTGCTTTATTCATTGCTTCCTCAGCACTAGAAGAATGCTTGCCTCCTAATTTGCTTTCAATAAATATATGTTTCCCTTCTTATTTCATCAGTCTGTCAGTTATTCTCATTTTCTGTGTCTTCATTTATTGTTGGTTCTCTCTGCTAGCTCTGTCCCTGAAGTCTCTCAATGACTGTATTTTCTTGAATTATTTTAATCACAGCTACATATTTAATAAATTCTGTTAAATAATTACCTTTAATGAAGAGAATAAACTTACATGATCTTTTAACTCCTCTGGAAAATGTAGCCTACATACTTCTTCCTATAAATATGCATATCAGCCTATCATTAGGGTAAAAAACCCCAAAACCTTCCCTTTGACTCTTACAGTCTAGCTTCTCACTGTTGCTCTAAAACTATTGTTTACCATTTACATTTCTCACTCTCTTTGACTTTTATGGAAGGCCCCCTCCCCTAAAACTCTATGTCTCTAGATCCTGAGGGACTATAATTCACTGTTTTGTTTTGCTTTCTAAGGTCTTTCTCTTTTCCTTAGAATGTTCCTCTTCCTTCCTCTACCACTTAAGTGTACTAATACTCCCAGGTTCTATTTTTAGCTTTCTTCATTTCTTGCCTTGTGCCCTTTTTAGCGGAGCTCTCATTCATATGGCTTTCACACTTATTTCTATATAGATGATTTACAAATCTGTGTCTTGTAATAGTTAGAAATTCTAAGTTTGCCCCCTCATTTCCACTTGTGGCATTCCTATTTGAGTGTCTCACTATCACCTCAACCTTAACTTGTCCCAAACCAAATTGTTTTCCTACTAGTACTGACTCCTCCATTGGAACTAACTCTTTTTTTTTTTTTTTTTTTAATACACAATGTATTTATTTATTTATTTATTTATTTATTTATGGCTGTGTTGGGTCTTCATTTCTGTGCATGGGCTTTCTCTGGTTGTGGCAGGTGGGGGTCACTCTTCCTCGCGGTGCGCAGGCCTCTCACTATCGCGGCCTCTGTTGTTGCGGAGCACAGGCTCCAGACGCGCAGGCTCAGTAATTGTGGCTCACGGGCCCAGTTGCTCCATGGCATGTGGGATCTTCCCAGACCAGGGCTCGAACCTGTGTCGTCTGCATTGGCAGGCAGATTCTCAACCACTGCGCCACCAGGGAAGCCCGGAACTAACTCTTGTTTTTATTGATGGTTCACAGTCGCCAGGCTTCTAAAAGGAGAGGGAATACCAGCCTTTGTTTAGCATCCAGTGCACAATAAGCACTGCTTTTCACTTACTGAATGTCCAGCTCAAGTTTTACCTCCTGAGAGACCTTCAAACAATCACAGTGATACTTTGCAATCCCTTCTTCTTAGACCACTTACAGTATATTTGTATTTAAACCCATAGATCCTCAGCCTGTGAATCTCCTGTAATTCATACTTTTAGTTTGTAAAGGCTCTCAAAGGCAAGGATTTTTATTTCATATTTCTTTTTGTCAGCACAGTACCCCCCAGGTACAGTACAATTTAATAAGTATTTGATGATTTTTGCACAGAAACAATGCTCTAAATAAGGACAAGAATATCAACTTAAATAACAAAACTAAATAAACTAAAACTAAGTAGCAAACTAATAACTCAAAATTAAATAATATTTTAGCTGTACTCTTGAACCTTGAACCCAGTTGAAAGGGGTTAGCCTCTGAAAGTGGCAGAGGCTCTTTACTTACCATTAAGGATCACCTGTTGAACAAATCTTTACTCTGTAACAGAATCTCTTTATCAGTAATACACCTTCATATAGCCATTTTATATTGCTATAAGCATATTTATAGAAGGTAGTATATTTATTTTAGCTTCTCTTCCCCGTTAGGTGCACCAGGAATAATTTCCTCACCATATGCAGGGGCTGCTGGATTTGCCCCAGCCATTGGATTTCCTCAGGCTACAGGTGACTAACTCTAAAGTTGAATTTGAAATGATTTCTTAATGATGGTCTATATTTTCCAGGAACTTATCAAAATGAAAAATATTACCATATTTGAAGGATTTATAATAAAAGCATTAGGTGTTTCAATCATAGAAGTGGCTCATGTACAATATATGATGCACAGCTTCCTTGTGTTTATAAATAATTCTCTCTGGTTCCATTCTCAACTCCAAAATTCCCTTATATATTCTGCATCATTTATACTTGCCATTGGCACAGATAACTATAGGTTGACTATATTAATAATCTCTGATTTGCCTTTTTGGTTATTATACAAAATATATGAACTGCTTGCTTATAAGCTTATCAATTACATGTTAAACAGACTTGTGTGTTATTTATCTTTGTGTCCTTAAATGCCTTTGATGGCATTTAATACATAGTATGCAGTCAGCAAACATTCGAATTAATAAACATTTACTGTTAAACTTATTTGTAAATCCTCTTTTTTTGTTTTTTTGATTAATGGGTTTAGAAGATTACCGTAGAGGGTATGCATGCTGTTTTATTTCAGGAAAAAAATTTATTTTTTTCTTTAAGTAATAGAAATAATTAAGAGATAACAATCGGTTAATACTTTGATAATGGCTCTCTGACTCTTTTCCAAATAGTAAACAAAATGAATTTGATCATAACTTAAGGAGGAGAAAAAAATACTTTATGATTTTATTGCTGGTGCTTAAAGAATACACTTGAGGTTGGTGATTAGAAAGAAGAGTGGCTTAGTGTTAAGCCTAGTCTACACAGTACCTTTCTACAGCTTCCAGCTGATTTATGAATATAACTATTTTAAATTGCAACATAGTTGCTTTCTGGCAATAATCTTTGTATCCTACCTTTCTAATTCTGGGAATTTTAACTACTCTCTTCACTGGAGAGGATGAAGTTAACTAAAAAAAAGAGTGATTTAAAAGGTTGAGGTTCATTTAAGTTTTAGGTTTTTGGTGGTTTTAAGACATCTTAATGTATGTTTAATTAAGTGAGTAATTCTACCTATCCCATTAAAATGAAGGCATTATACATTGTTTTTATGTGTTTGAAGCTCACAAAAGTTTAATTTTTATACATTTGGAGGTAGTGATATATGGTTTCCCTCATTTTAGTTATTTCTTTCTACACACTGTATGTATAAAACACTGTAGTAGATGTTAAGAAAGAGAAAAAATGTGTAAAGAGGGCTCCTGAGTTGATAAGACTTTTAAGGTGTAGCAGGGGGATGTACATATACACATACACACATGTATATACCCTACCGTGTAGCTAAGGTGTAGTGTTGGTGGTATATAATAGACTTAAGGAAGTTATTCAAAAGTTGCAGGGGCATGGGAAGAGGTCATGCAAAAGACTATTGAGTATAGATTTCATGGAAAAGCATCCACCCTAAGAAGGTGATGTGCATGGTTTTAAAATTCAGCAAGATGGTGGTAGTAATAACTTTCCTTAGATTGTCAAGCAGAATAGTATGATTGTAAACTATATTGCAATTTAATTACATGATTTGTGATAAACTGGCCAGACTCTGTCTATTATAAGGAATTTTGAGCTTAAAGAATCAATAAATTAAAGAACTGGTTTATTTTATATCAACTAGAGATTTTATCTTAGATAATTTTTAAGCTGAGAGTACAAATAGTGGGACATTCTGAGGAAGTGTAGTGTTTTAGGTGTAGTATATAGTGTCAATATTCCAGTATTATAGAACTTTCAGTAGTTCTGAAATATCTGGGGGAGTAGAGAGCTCTGGAAATTCTTGCTGCAAAAGAATATTGAATTCTATAAATTTGTTCTTGATGGTAATAATGTTTTACAAGGTTACAAAATGTTTTTTCCCCATGCAGAATGTATGTATACAATTTACCTGTTTTAGGTATACAACTCAGTGATTTTTAATAAATTTACGGAGTTGTGCAGCCATTACCATAGTCCAATTTTAGAACATGCATTACTACCTAGCATGCATATATGTGACTTCTGCTGAAGGACTTTTTACAAAAATATGTATCTGGTTTTATGGTAGAAGTCATTATGAAAATAACATCTACTTTAGAGAAATGTGCTGGAATATATTTGTTTTAAGAAATAGAAGGAGTACTTGTAGTTATAGAACCTTTGAAAAAGCTAATGGCTTTTAAGACCAGTGAATTTGGTTGCTATGCAAAGCACTGTATAAATAATAAAGTACTAAGTATGATAGTATCAACGAATAAAGAGCTCTACTCTTTGGAGGGCAAAAAACTGACCTTTGTTATCCTTATGGTAGCTTTGAAACATTTTCTTCTCTATTTTTGCTTTTGTCTTCATTTATTTACTTAAGTTGTATTAAGTGTTGTAATTCTCCAGATAACTAGAATATGAAATGCTTTTGATGTTTTGAAAAGGTTTGTCAGTCCCAGCTGGACTAGGTCCCGGAGCTCTTGGTCCTCTCGCACTCACCTCCTCTGCCGTCACTGGAAGGATGGCCATTCCTGGGGCTGGTGGTGTACCGGGAAATTCTGTTCTGCTTGTCACCAATCTTAATCCTGATGTGAGTTGAAAAGTATTATATGTAAAAAGTCTTTCAGGAGGAGGTATTGTAGCTTCTGACCTAGAGTTAAATTCAATGAAAATGTTTATTTTAAGAATTTTTATTAAAATTCATCACTAGTATATATAGAAGCAGCATGTAAAAAGTCAGTGCTTTGAACAAGTAAACTTACTTAAAATTTTTACTTAGACACTGATATTTTGTGTTATCCTTTTCAAACAGCTTATTACACCACATGGACTTTTTATCCTATTTGGTAAGTAATTTTTGTTGTTGTTTTTTATATTATCTATGATGTGAATTGAGCATATTGCATCATTCAGTAATATTTATTACTGCTATGTGCCTACTAGTGTGTTTGACACTGAGGATAGAAGAGCAAGGAAGACAGTAAGTGATTACAGTTACAACAAAATTTTATAAAAAGGGAAATAGAGATTGTAGTAGGAACATACAGCTAGACCTAACCTAGCTGAGGGAATCAAAGATGATGTACCAGTAGAAATGATAGTTAAGCTGACTTGTGAAAAATGAGGACACATTAGCCAGGCAGAAAGGGAGGGCAAATGTCCTTTCACAGATAGCAGCGGTGAGAGACAGAACTCGTGGAACATAGAAATGAAGGAAGCTCAATGAAGAGTGTAAGGGAGAGACATGTTGAAGTTGGGCAGATGGATAGGGGCAAGGTCATTAAGAGCTTTATAAGCTATATTAAAGAGCTTCGTTTTTAACTTAAGAACAGTGGGAATCCATTGACTAGTTTTAAACAGGAGAGAGGCATAATGAGATGTTGATTATAAAAACAATCCCCTAACTTTCCAATAGTGTGCCTCTCAGTTAAAAAAAATATTTAGCCAGGTACTCCTAATCTATATATGATTAATTATTCATAAATTTCATCTATCTTTTACTATACTCTTTAGTATAATGTGTACAAACAGAAATATAAAAGCAATGAAGTGATATTTAATAAAGATTTTTCTTATGACACTTTTTTAAATAAAAATCTATTAACATTTAGTGAGAAGTATTTAATATGCTTCATTATTTTCAAAAACCTTTTTCATTTTGGTTCAGTATCCCAAGAACTGATTCTAAATTCACTTTATTTTAGTACTTGATCTTAATGGTTGTCATAAATGAAAAAGATACCTCATAAAGATATGCGAGGGAATCCTCTGGCGGTCCAGTGGTTAGGACTCAGTGCTTTCACTGCCAGGTCCTAAGTTCAGTCCCTGGTCTGGGAACTGAGAATCCTGCAAGCTGCGTGGGCATGGCAACAAAAAAAAAAAAAAAAAAAAAAAAAAGGGG